TGCTAAAAGTTACACGCGTGTCACCGACGGCCACTTAGCGGCGCACGTGCTCGCTGAATCACGTGCGTGCAAATCGGATCGTCCGACATCATCGTTCGGACGTATATAAATGCATCGACATGCATTACATCATGCGATATTTCAATGTTAATTTATGAATATGAATGTGAATTTATGAAGTTACATTAATTCAATAATACATTTAAGATTAATCATATATTAGAGCTTATTATTAATTTAACAATGTGCTTTGGTATCACATTGTACCTAGTGCAATATTAGAATGCTGTGGATAGCGTCAGAATAACTACAGAATTCCTGCCTCTTACTTATCATATTCTCACTTGATTGCGGAGCCAACTGATGTAATCGACATTCGGATCGCGCGAGATCGATAAATCTTCGCGCGATGTCCGCAATTGCTCGCTCGCTCGCTTCCCATGAAGGAAAGGGTCTTCCATCGCATCACCGCGGCATTCCGCTGATGCGAGTAAACGAGCAAATTCGTAGGTTGGGGTCCCCCCTACGGGCCCTATGGTACGCCGCATCCGATCGAATCCCATAAGTCACGGAACTCGAATACTGTGTTTAAGCAGCGAGCTCATTCTCTCGTCCATTATCCCTGTGCGTGTAAGGCCCCGAAATGTTTTTCAAGATCCTCGCTTTCGAAAGGAACGTGAAGTCCAGACACGCAAATCACATAGAAATTATTCTTGTTCGATCCAAAATTCAAAATTTTGCAATATTTTCTAATTTTTATTGCGGCATATTTTATCGAATTTTATCGAAAAAATGACCAAGTTATATTAACTTTTATTTAAAACTTTTTCGTTTCTTTTTATTTTTTATATTTTTATTTAGATTGTTATAAATATGTTTAGGAATGACTTTGATTATATTTACATTATTTTAAATTTTTTATATCTTCTTTCTTATTTAATTATTGTTATGCATAAGATTACAAATATTTTAATACAATAATACAATAGATTATAAATAAATTCTTATTTTATACATCTTTGGATGGGATTTATTTTCGCGTTCTTAAAATTTTAATCTGAATATTGTTTCTTTTTGTTTTAGGGGATCTGAAGAGGCGACACTCTTGGAGTAGCGAGATCGACTATCAGTCAGAGGAAACGGAAGCTGTAACCTTTTCAGGGGAAAATCCCGCTGTCCCAGCTCCATTGGTCAACGATAGAATCTCCTACAAGGTATCGTATTCTACACGTTTTCGTTCTTCTTTTTCTCTTTTTACATATACATTTATATTATATTTATATAATTAAAATAAGGAAATTTATTTTTAAATATTTTAGAAAAATGTTTAAAAATTGTTAAATCACTTATATAAAAATTTGCTTTCTATGCAATGTAATTTTAACTGCATATATAATAAAAATTAATATCTGCAGTTTAAAATTAATGTGTAATCTTAGAAATTGCCGCGATCATTTATTCGTGTACGAAAAAGAGACGATCGTAAATTTTCGTTGCATGGTAAAACACGAGTCGGAACCCCATGAGAGTCCCTGCCAAATAATTCATCCTGGCGACTCGCCGTGCGGGTTAATTGAACGCCTATGAGACACATTAATAATCCACTTTTTGCGCGAACAGAGAGATAGCTTTTCTAGTGATGGCGGAAGAATGAGAATTTACAACAAAAATTACTCCCCTTCCGGCCCGCCATTTCTGCGGGAAATTTCCCGAAATTTTCTTCGAAAAAGTTTGTTATAAGAGTTTTTAATATTCGATATTAAATAGAATTGGAGAAATTATTATTACGTATATATGAATGTTCACATTCCTTTATCACATAATTTTGAACTTAAATCTTATAGATATATTTTTTCTCTTTACCTTTTTATTTTTAATTTATTTGTAAAATATGCAATATTTTTTAAAGGGTGAGAATAGCAAATAAATCAGAAAAATATATAAGTGATCGGAGGAAGACATTTCTTCTGCAAGAATACCTCTTTCTAAGAGGATGTATAAAATATAAAGAAGATGTATTCATGTATATGCGTACCGTATCTTAGCTTCCTGCTTCGACTTCGTTCCGAGCGGTTAGTCACGCTCTAGAAATGCAGGGATGCGACACGGTATCAATAGAGAAATATCGTGCGACATTACATGGCATTACACATGTTCCACAAATAGTGATTATTAATTCAACTGGAAAATGTTGATAGTTACATTGAATGAGTTCATTAACACGTTAAAAATTAGTATTATATAATTAAACTCATTTTTTGTACTTACATATGTTGCGTTTAGCATTTACAAAAATTGTTTAAAAGGAATTTTTTAATTTTAATTAATATGAAATAATAAGAATTAATAAGTTCGTATTAAATAAAATTTGTAATATGTTTTAATATATTATTCCTGTGTGTTTTCATTATTAAATTTTGACCGGGGAAATTTTTATTTTACAGGAGCATGGCTGTTCGGTGCAGACGGTGGACCTGGTGGCGGATTGCCCGTTGCAGGTCGTAACGGGTGACTCGAGATCGCCGACGCCCTCCCCGACGTCCGTCGCGTCGTCGACGAGCATGGGGCAACGATCGAGCGCCCTGTTACGCCCCAGAATCTCGCTAACTTGGGTCTTGCGCGGCCAACAACAATCTAACTTGGGTCCTGGATCCAATAACTATTCGACCATTAACGGCAATGGAGGTAAAAAATCATCTCTTTTCTATCATTTTTCATATTTATTTTGAGACTAACAGTTGACAGTAATAATATAATGATATCATCGATATCTATATTGAAAAGAAAGTTGCTTCAACTTAACTACTAACTTTTTAACATAGAAATGAAGTGCTACAATATTATATTATCCTGTTTATGTTAATAAAATTACGTAAATATTTCCCTTTAAAAGGTACAAACAATGATCGAGACACTTTTTCGCGGGGTAGCAAAAGATCCTCGAGAAGAAGCGTTAAAAATGTCAAAGAGAAAGACGCTGTTAGCAAAGAGAAGATCGAGAACAAGGAGAGCATCGAGAAACGCGAGAAAAAGATTTTGCACAGGCTCCAGAAGATCGAAAGAATTGAGAAGGTAATCTTTAATCTTCATTTCACAATGCGGGCTATAAACTTTTCTTGTTAGTAAATCCTTCCGTCCTAAGTTTATTATTTTTGAATTTAACAAGTACTTTTACCGCTTTCAAATATTTTTTTTTAAAGACTATTGGCAAAGAGACGATCGGTGAAAAGCAGGATAGTCCTCTGGAGAAACACTTTGACAAAGAATTTATCGGTGTCAAAGATACGAAGGAAAAGGAGAAAGTGAAGAGAGCCGTATCGGAGCCTTCTCTAGTATCTCGTGAATCAACGTCGACACCCAACGGACGAGAGAAGCACCGGCATCGGCGGACCAAACGTTCGCACAAGCCTAGACTGCCTAGTAGATTCGGCTATGAAATCGCCGATCTCGACGCGTTCCTGACCAAGGTGCTTAAACCTTTTAATTATCTCCTGTAATTCTATATTTTTTATTCTTTAAATTTTTTATTCTTTATAGAATTAATATATTTAGTGTGTTTTAAAGCTCTGTATATAATGTAATTTATTGTAACCTTAGGCGTCTCTAGAAAGACCAGCGAACATCCCAGTTGTCCTGTCTTTTCCATCGGTACTGTATCAGACTCAAGGCGGTATACAGGACGAGATGGCTCTTCCTCTGGGTACAGTTGTGAATGCCGTCTTCAAGAACCAAACTTGGCTATACGTGCAAACGCCTCATGGACAGGAGGGTTACGTCGGTTACGCTGCCTGTTTACCCTTAGGAATCTTACCACAGTCTACGCGAGGACCATGCTGGGAAGACTCCACTGATGTTTTTCCCCGGCCATTAGGTGAGCGAAATCTTCCTTAAAATTGTAAAATAAATCTTGGAATGTGCCGAGACTGAAATAATTAGGCTAATTAAAAACAAATCAATATCAATTATTAGTTTCTTTAGTTTTATATATATATATATATATATATTTATTTATTGTGATATATTTCAATTATAATGTAATAAAATCTTCAATTAAACTCCGCAATTTTCAAATAAATTTTTAATTTATCCTAAATTTTATAAAGCTTAGATAGATTAATAATTAAATTAATTTTATTTTGTATTTTTCTTCAAATAGACATAAAATATTTCTTTCAACTTTTCAATTTTTCTATCTGCTGTTTTTTTTTTAGGAAACATGACAGACATGGAGAAGCTGCGTGACACCAGGTCCGAGTGCGGGGCAAGTCGTGGGCGCAGCGGCAGAATGAGACGAGGACCGAGAGATGCTGTATCGGCATGCGGCGAACGTAGTGTCGATCGGTTGTACCTGAGGGCAGCGGCAAACGCGCGCACCAAAGGTTCACGGCATACCCTTCTGGTGATTAGGAATGACTACGAGGCACGTGCCGCAAACGCCCTGACAGTCTCGAAGGGCGACGTAGTCGCTTTGTTGAGCGATCACACGAACGACTGGTTCTGGGTGCGCTCCAGGGATGGCAGAGAAGGATTCATCCCCGCAGTCATCGCCGGCCACGGTTTTCTTTGATTTCTTTCGCGCGGTCGGAGAGATGCTTATTTAATGAATATATCCTCGTTTATGAAATTCACGAAGAAGTGGTATCCCATTCTCGAAGCGATATCCTTAGACTATCGCCAAATTACTCGAATAGATTCGGATTAATCTATTAACAATTAATTTCGTAATTAAGATACAAAGAATTTTTGAGCCCTATTTTTGAAATAATAAAAAAAGTATTATAAATAAAAGAATTTTTTTAGTTTCACAAATGTGATAACCACAAATTCAGTATTTATATATAGAAGAAATATCAATTTTAATTTATAATATTAATTTTTTTATTAAATATTATATAAACAATTTTTTAATTTATAAATAAAAGGTGAAAAAAGAAGTGTGCGGATATTAGCTAGTTTTATGTACTTGACAATCTTAAAAAAACGTCAAAATCTTCGACAAATACAGATGAACTTTCATATTGTTTATTATATATTTTTTTAAGGAAAAGAAGGCAATATAAAAGTACAATTATAAGGATAATTATAAATATATGTATATCTATCTTTGCATTTCATCGTATAAATATCGCTTGTATATTTGTATAAAGACGAATTGTATCGTATAAAAAATGTACACTTTATTAATATATTTATTTAAAAAATCGCAAATATCAATCCAATTATGTATTCCACCCATCTAAATTATTTGAAAAAAACAATTATTGAAAAATCAAATTTCCTTTTGTAATAATACAATTCCTTCTAATAATTATTATGCAAACTTGAGCGTCATTTCGCGGTAATTGTAGTTTGTACTAATGTCAATACAGTTTGAGGAGCCAGCCACGCTAAGCACCTTATGTGGCGTTTCCTGGTGCACTATACTATAGACTGTGAGACTCGAAGTAGGAACTTTGGCTAGAACCTCGCCTTGATATGTCATGTGATGGACATGATCGGTCGTGCCGCCAGCAATCACGCGTTCCTCGTAGATCTCTGCTACATGAATTCCTTGATCGGCCAGATCGAAAACTGTCGCTACCTCCATCGTTCGCACGTGCCACAATGACAAACTGGGCCCACCGCCACACAGCTAGAATTATTACATGAATCAAAGTGTAATTAAGAAACATTAATTTAGATGCAATCTTTTTATTTCTTCTTTATCATTTAATTTTTTATCATTTAGATGCAATCTTTTTATTTCTTTATCCTTCCTTTTTTTTAAATTTCAGACAGATATATTATTGTTATCGTCACCTACCAACCAGTCTTCTGTGAAATCAACAGCACCAATCCATTTTCCGAATCGTGGTCGCGCGACTTTGTCTACTAAATGAGGCGTTAATATATTAGTGTTCTCTCTTTTGCGCAAATCCCATAATCTCACAGAACCGTCCTCGCTACAGGACGCAAGCTGATTATCCCTGAAATTTACGAAAAACTTCTAAATTATGAAAATAATGAGCATCACTTTTGTGTGTGCAATGTATATGTCACAGATAAATAATTACATTAGAGCAAGGCAGTGTATATAATCAGTGTGGCCTTGCATGCTTCTCAGAATTTTTCTGTTCTCTAAGTTTATGATGTAAATATTATTATCACCACAGCCAACATACAGTAAATTATTCATTTTTGAATACACCATATAATTTATATCTGGTTTATCATAACTGTCTCTGAAAGGAAATACATACATATTTTATTTTCTTATCCCAAAAGTCTATATACAAAATTCATAATTGTAATTATATAAATTTTAAAATGTTAGTATTTAATTATATTCTTTTATTTTCGCTTACTTATTAGCAGGAATTTGTATATTCCAACAAACTTTACTCTTGGGAGCTTTATTTGATGTAACTGCCTTCCAGTCCCATCCTGATATTTCACCACGTGTGCCTGTCACAAGGAAATTCTCCACAGAGACCATACATGCGACTTCCTGATCAGGGTGCGCGGCAAAGCGACAACTAGGTCCTTGTAACTCATTCTCCTCCACTTTGTTGGGCCCTAAGGCCTTCGACAGACTGTTTAACAATTCAGCAATTATAAATTGAGTAACCGCAAATAGCAATTATTATAAGCAATTAAAAATTAAACCATTTGCCGGAATTAAAATTAAGCAATATATGTATGGAAAATGGTTAAGATATATGTACATATATTGACCATTTTCGGTTCTTAGCAGAATTGCATGATTAGTGCATCAATATACTATACGTTATATACATCGCAGAAATAAAATTCCTTTATTCGAAAATTTTCTTACTCAAATATTGAAACGTCCCCATAAATGTTGCCAGCCAAAAGATAATTTCCATCGGGTGAGAATGTCTGTGACAGTACGGTGTTGTAAAGTAACTTCTTGTCAGTCGGTTCTATCATTTTGTCCACAATTTATCACGTACAAACACACAATCAATGTGCCTTTCTGCCTAATATTTGATCATTTAAGAACCTCCGATTTAATAGCTTTTTTTACACAGTCTTTCGGTTTTACAAATAAGATTAGACCATTCAAAGCGTGAAGCCGACTCTGATGTTTACCTCTGAGATATTTTTAGGTTAAGAAAACATTACAATTTACACTACTGTGGTTCTGCACAGAAACCAATAGATATTCTCATCATTTTTGAGAATCGAAAATCTTTTAACAACAAAACTAAATTTCGCTTTAAAGAAATATCTCACTACGTGCGAGAAAAGAAGCTCGAAAGATCTCGCGCGTCGAACCACGTTCCGTGAATTTTAATTTGGAAAACATCAACGTTTCTTATCTAACAATAAGCAGATGTCACGCAATCAATGAAAAACGATGACGCGTTTCATATGCGGAACGAAAAGTAATTCTGAGGGAAAAAACTTCGACGTAATCGCGTTGATAACACAAATGCGTACAAATGCGATAACCTTTGTCACGTTACGCCGGTTACGCGCGCGGCGCGATTCCGCATCGATCATGTGACCGTCGTTTCGCGGACCGTTCCAGTCAGTCCGAATCGGCAGTAATCGGCATCCGTATTCCGTCCAGTCGAGTTCGGAACCCGACAACTGAGGTTAGCTCCACGTTCAGGAAGAGAGAACCGTGAGAAATTATACCCTAAATGGCACATAGACTAGTCGTAACAACCGGCAATTTCTTGAAAAGCGCCTGCAATCCCTTCTCGATGGCCGCTAGATCCTCCAGGTGAGACTTCAGCATTTCTAACGAATGACCTTTCGACCTTCGTCAAAGTGCCCAGATGCTGTGCATTTTTCCAATGAAGATACATGATTGTCATCCATTATCTCCATTGATATCAGAATCATCTTGATCATTAATAGTTCTAATTATTTTAATCAAGGCTCCAAATATATAGCTATAAAACTACAGAAAAGTATTAGTAAGAACCAGTATACAGAGAATACAATAATTCAATTAATTTAACTAATTGCTAAAAATCTAAACGTATATCTAATTATTTTATATATAAAAAGTCGAAAAAGAATAATTTATTTTTTTAAATTTACATTTTTTTAATAATTCCATTGCTATGAATGTTTAGCTTTTAATGTTCTTGAAAGATAACATCTTATCTGTTTGATATGAAATCAGAGATAATTGCAATTGATTAAGAATCATATATTACAGTTCGTGGTGGTCTCATGTTGAAATGGGACCACCAGATGCAATTTTGGGAGTTACCGAGGCATACAAGAGAGATCAGAATCCGAAAAAGGTCAATTTGGGTGCTGGCGCTTATAGGGACGATAATGGCAAGCCGTATGTTCTTCCGAGTGTTCGTAAGGTTAGTTATAAACAAGATATCAAATCTAGAATAGAAAAATTAATATTATATCTATATCATGTAAAAAAGATTTTTATATATAATGTACATAATAGATATACAATTTTATTTATTATAAAATATACAAAATGTATTTTGTATCATTCATAACAGGCAGAAGAAAAAATACGAATTAAAGAAATGGACAAGGAATATTCCACAATCGCTGGCAATCCCGACTTTTGCCAGCACAGTATTAATCTAGCTCTTGGAGAGGGAAATGAAGTTGTCGCTAATGGATTGGTGAGAATTATGATGAAAATGATGTGTAAAGTTTTTTCTCAACATAGATCTTTTTTTCTAGAATGCAACAGTTCAAGGAATTTCTGGTACTGGCTCTCTGTTTGTTGGAGCACAATTTCTGTCTCATCATTTCCCTGGCAATAAGGTCATTTATCTACCAACTCCTACCTGGGGAAATCACAACACTCTGTTTAAACTTGCCGGACTTACGGTCAAGTCTTACCGCTATTATGATCCAAAAACGTGTGGTTTGGATTTCAAAGGAGTAATGGAAGATATATCTGTTAGTAAAAGAATTTTTAATAGAAGAAATAACTACTTTTGATGTTAAAGCATGCATTGATATTTAAAAGGTCAATGTTAATAACAGAATTTTATATTTTTACTTAAAATTGTAATAATTTTTTATTTTACTAATCTATAATATTTATATATACTAATTTTTATATACTAATACAAGTATATGTTTTTTAAATATTGATAATGTGATTTTTAACAAATATAAATATAAACTACGATTGGGCTGAAATGTTACGAAACATATTGCTTACAAAATTAATATTGCATTACATTGATTAACATTACATAATAACTTTTAAGTAATTCATATTTTATCATACTAATGATGTTATCTATGAATAGAATATTCCTGAGAAATCAATTATCCTTCTACATGCATGTGCTCACAATCCTACTGGTGTTGATCCCAAACCGGAACAATGGGGAGAATTGTCTATTCTGATTAAGAAGAAGAATCTGTTCCCATTCTTTGATATGGCATATCAAGGTTTTGCCTCAGGTATTTTCAAATTATATATAATTTATACTATTAATGTTTATTGATTATAATAATATATTTATTAATATTAGCCTTACAATCTAATAATTCTTACATCTGTAGGATCTAACATTTTTTACTATCTTGATTTTTATAGGAGATTGTACAAAAGATGCTTATGCAGTCAGACTGTTCGTTAAAGAAGGTCACAAAATTGCTTTAGCTCAATCCTATGCAAAGAATATGGGTCTTTATGGTACGTATACAAGTTAAAATATATAAATATAAGTAAGAATTATTATTTATATATATATATAGATAAGTGAAAATATATTAATTCCTCTTTTATTTCTTCAGGTGAACGCGTTGGAGCGTTCAGTTTAGTGACGTCTAGTAAAGATGAGGCTGCACGCACTCTGTCACAACTAAAAATTCTGATCAGGCCAATGTATTCAAACCCGCCGATTAATGGAGCCCGTATAGTTCATGAAATCCTCAATGATTCTGAATTGCGAAAAGAATGGCTACGCGATGTGAAGGGTATGGCCGATCGCATCATTTCGGTTCGCACAAAGCTACGCGATAATCTGAAGAAGAATGGCAGTACACGTGACTGGAGTCACATCACCGATCAGATTGGAATGTTCTGTTATACTGGTCTAAAGCCGGACGAGGTAAACTTTTTTTTTTTCTACATTTGATAATTAAATAATTTTTATGCTCTTCTTTAAACAAGAAAATAAAAAATTATTGTTATTATTACTAATTATCAGTTTTTAATTATTGTTGATTTGCTAATAGGTAGAAAAACTTACTAAGGACTTCAGCATTTACCTGACCAAGGACGGTCGTATTTCCATGGCCGGTGTAACGTCGAAGAATGTAGAATATGTGGCACATGCAATGCACGAAGTTACCAAGTAAATTATCAAACATGCTACCATTTCATCCTGAAGCCCTGCCAATGTCCAATAATAATATATAGCGCACACAATTTATTTTATTGTATACGAATTGAGCAGTTGAAAGTAACAATCAAGATTATAGAATCGAGATCATAGATAAATATATAGGAAACCACACAGCATGGATATAAAATGATGTTCATGGAAGTTCAATATTTATGATTCATTAGATATACCAAATATTTAAATACTTTTTAAATATTCGCGAATAACAATCTGTTTGCTGTTGTGCAAAGTTATTTTGTACAATGGCAAATAATGAGTTGTACATACAATATGATATATACACGTATATGAAGTCACTGATTAAAATTTAATAAAAATTTTATTTTTATAATATTTTGGATAATATTTAATATTTTAATATTAATGTTGTGTGTATACATTTTTTATATTTTTCTTTAAAAAGGAAGTATTTTTTGTATTATATATCTGTGCTGTATGGAGATAAAATAATTGTATTTTATATATCTTGTATTAGAATGCGAGTAAATAGTATGAGTTGCGAACATTCGAATGTTGAACATTTGTTGCAATTGTGTATATTAGATTTGTGTAAAAAGCGCTTGTTTAATACGATCCATCTTTTATACCTAGCATTTAATCTTACAGTAAAGTTTAATTCTAAGATCATTGGGATCGGACATTTCTTCTATTCTAAGTTCTTTTGTGATAGCCAATTCTATTTGAAAAATGAAGAACACAAATGTATTTTATTCTAACATTTATAAGCAGCTGTAATGTGAGAGGGTACATAAATTTAGTTTAAGGAAAAATAATGGACTTAGAATAGAGGAAAATTTACAGACGAGAAGAATTGGTATTTTGTTATATCCTTGCCGTTTATGAGCATCCGAAGAGCTTTATCGAAGATACAGATTTCTTGTAAAGTTTATATTTTATAGAGTACAATATATGTGTATAAAGATCATGTTGTTAATATTTTCTTCCTTTACTCTTACTTTTTACATCCTACATTGAACATAATTATATTTAACAAAAATATGGAATTCTTAAAAGAGATCGATTAATATGAAAAAAAAAATCAAATTTAAAAATTACAATTTTACAATTGTAATTATTACAATTTTTTTCATATAAAAATAATCATAAAAATATGCAATTCTTAAGAGATCGATTAATATGAAAAAAAAATATCAAATTAAAAAATTACAATTTTACAATTGTAATATAATTTTTTTATTTAAAAAAAGAAAAAAACAATTGCACTTTCTGGTGTACGTGATTGCGCGTTGCGCGCAGCGTCGTCTGCTATACGTGTATATAGTGCTATAGTGTGTGCATACATGCAAATGTCACGACTGTCTCGTTGCAGTTGAAGATTGAAGGTTCTCTGTAGAAAAAATCCGATAAAAAAAAGAAAAATCGCCAAGAGTCATCAACAAACCACAAACATGGTAAGAGAGTCGAAGAAATTGCGGTGACTATCACAGAAACAACAGAAATCTTGTCAAAATTTGTTTTACAAAAGGAGAGTAATCTAGGTTAACAATTCAGCAAGATGACTTTCCAGTTTCAGTTTGGATTCAATATGTTCCCGGAGATTCCGCGGCCCTTCAATACTCAGTACAAATGCTTCTCAGTGTCGATGTTGCCCGGGACCTATCGCCAGGACGTTGAACGTGGTGGCAAGAGTGAGTAGCGACTGCTGACAATTAGACGGAAGGGACACTGTATTGATCTGCTTTGCTTTTCAGTAATCATGCCACCATCTGCTCTGGAGCAACTCACTAGGCTCAACATTATTTATCCAATGCTATTCAAACTGACCAACAAGAAGACGAATAGAATTACTCATTGTGGTGTGTTGGAGTTCATTGCTGATGAAGGCAAAGTCTATTTACCTTACTGGGTTAGTAGGGACAACGTATTTTATATATGACACACATATATACACTTAAAAATAACAATCAATTATAAATTACTGTTTCTTCCTTTATAGATGATGCATAATCTTTTGCTGGAGGAAGGTGAGCTACTGAACGTAGAGAGCGTGTCACTACCGGTCGCGACATTCTCTCGCTTTCAGCCGCAATCAGAGGACTTTCTGGATATCACAAACCCGAAGGCCGTATTGGAGAACGGTCTGCGCAGCTTTGCCTGCCTGACTACTGGCGACGTGATTGCAATCAAATACAATCAAAAGATCTATGAAATGTGTGTGCTCGAAACCAGACCTGGTCCAGCGGTCAGTATCATTGAGTGCGACATGAACGTGGAGTTTGCGCCACCGGTAGGCTACAAAGAGCCAGTAAGAGAGGCCAAGAAGGAAGAAGAAACAGAGCATCTGGCCGATTTGATGCCGGCGCAGACTGGCTTTGTACCTTTCCAGGGCGAAGGCGTTCGGTTAGATGGTAAAAAACGTAAGGACGCACCTAAGCAGGAAACTGTAGCTACCAAGCCGACTTACGTTCGTGGAATACCCGATTATGATTATCAAATAGGCACTCTCAGGTTCTTGCGAAACATGAAGCCAGTGAATAACAAAGAGGTAAGAATTCAAGTTGGAATTCTATACCACGGCATATAATATCATATTAGGTACCGCGGAAAGTTTGTGTTATTTTCCAAGGGGCAGTCCATGGTTATATAATAAAAATTTTTTATTTGGTGAGCGAAATCTCTTTGGAAAACGACGAATTTTCCGCGGTACCCAATAAACAGAATTTTGTCTGGAATTTCTTCGTGAAATGCAGAGCTAATGGGTTTATGATTCACATAATGATTATAGTATCGTGATTAATATCACTTGTATATTGTTTCAGACGAAGGATCCAGACGAGTTTAAGGCGTTTACTGGCGAGGGATTTACTCTCTTAAGAAAGTCCAGAAAATGATAGAGCAATTGTTTATTATTTTTAATTTATAAATGAAGATTTACAAGAGCGCTCGCCGGAATGAATGTTGCATTGTGGAATATTCTTTTTTATTATAAAAATATAATTAAAGGATAGTTAATTTTTGCTTCAATTATTATTCAATTATTATTCATGTCGTATTTTAATTAGATAAGTCTTTATTTTTCAGCAGGAAAAAACATTGTTTTATCTTTTATGTCATGCCTCTCTCTATGGAAATAAAAAAATTAAAACGCCCGTATAAAACCAAACGCTATATAGGATAGTTTTACAGAATTTTATATAGAAACTTAATTATTTAAGGGTTACTTTTTTCAAAGTGATATTTGTCTATCAATCCATTTTCAATTCCGAGAGAACTTTATGTATATAATATTGATACCACTTTATTTACAACAAATATACGATTTAATAATCACGCTTAATGCTAATTAATCAATTAATCCGAGATAGAGATTAATAGTACCCGGAAAATGTTGAATTCATGCACATAATGCATTCTTATTAAATTTCAGGTATAATCCATAATAGATATTCAAGAGATTCCAGTGGCTCTAACTCTTTTTATATTCAATTCTTTCCACTTTAACCTCATCTCCGACCAGCTGATACACATACGTAACCACTGTTGAACTTTGAATGTCCATTAGTACGAATGATGGTATAACTGACCTAAAAACAAACAATGACGATTGAAAAAGGATTCTCAAAAATTTTCTTATTAATTATCGTTGTAAATCATGTTTCCCTCTTCAGAAAATAATTTATAAATTATTAAATATTAAAATAATTTAATAAATATTTAAAAGATTTCATCTCAAATGGATAAGCCAAAAATAGATTTGCTATAAAAAATAGAATATTTGATAACTGAATCTTTGAATTTTTTATATCATTTTTACATCTTTTTGAAAAGAAACTTACGTATCCAGAGGATTGTAAGCTCCAGTAGCTGATCCAGGATTGATGTAGAATTTATTTTCATGCTCGTAGGCTTCAAATTTATGCGTGTGTCCAGATATGAGAATATCAACATCTAATTGTCTCTGTATCAAGGCTAAGGATTCTGGATCACCCCATGGTACCACTTGATGCCCATGGGAAAGGCCTATTCTGAACTGGCCTACAGTAACTACTTTCTGTTCTGGATAATTTAGATTCTATAAATAAAAAAATCTTGCTTTAATATTTGCTAGTAAGTAATATTTATAATTATACAGATTTTTGCAATTTAACTTAATTACTCATATACTTTTCTTGCTTTTAATCTTACATGACATACTTAATTGTCTAATTACTTTAATTAGATTTTAATCATTCCATATATATTTTCGTATTTATATGATTAAACAAAACTCTTGAATCTATACATACTTCGTCGAAATCTCCTCTGACCACATGTACATCACTAGCTAGCGTCTTGAGATAATCATAGGACTCCTTCGTGCAAAGATTACCAGTGCATAAGATATGCTGTATTCTTCCCGGTACTAGCAGCTTCTTAAATTTACTTGGGAGACTACTACATCTGTGTGGAATGTGCAGGTCCCCCAATACTAACACAAGCTGAAAAAAATTTGTTTCTGAATTTACTTTGAAATTTTGTGTGTCATATTAATTAATTTTATTTTTTTAAACAAAAGATATGTATTTTTTAAAGTTATAAACTCTGTAGAGATAACTTGACGTTTACAAATTATTGATAAACTGAAATAAACTGTTAAATTCGTGTTCATAAGTAGAAGATTAAAAAATAAAAAATTTAATTATAAATAATATTTGCTGATTAAACAATAGTTTAATATTAGCAATAGGCACTATAAAATAACATACACCGCCTACTTTGAGGTTAGATTATTAAAACAATTTGTTTCCAATTTTTAACACATTTATAGATTATTGTGCATTACTCACCATGGTTTTCGTAAATTAAATACTTAAACTAATATATTTCGATACTTATAATCTCACGATATCAATAATTGCTAATAACATAAAACACAGGAGGCAGAAACGTCAAACATGACACCGGAAGTGTACATACGTGACAATAGCGGAAGATTATCGAAACGCGAAATTTCGTATCGAAATGTTTGAATATTTACCGATATATAATAATTTGCGACTTAAAAAAATTAATAAAATATGCAGTATGTCGATCTAGATCGAAGACTGTGGGCTTTGGATCTCCGGCTAAGTGAGGTTCGAGTCTCCGCTAAGTGGGGTTGAATCTCCGTTAAGTGGGGTTTGAATCTCCGCTAAGTGGAGTTGAAATAATTCAAGTCTCCACTCTCCACTAAATGAGGTTCAAATCTTCGCTAAGTGGGATTTGAATGCTCGCGCGCTATAAGTGCAGCGGGAAAATAAATTCAATAAATCTCCGCTAAAATGTGGTTCGAGTCTCTGCTAAGTTGAGTTCGAGTCTTCGCTAAGTGGGGTTTGAGTTTTATGGACATAGAGGCGCTGCCATGGCCGCTCTCTGCTTTTGCCATTATTTATGAGTTATGACATAACCTATTCAGTCTTCCACCAGAATTAGCTTTGAAGTTATTATTATTGCGTTTATGGCTGCGCGTGAAAGTTCGAATGAGCAGTGCATTGTTTTGAAAGTATTATCAAATTAAAAGATATTTTATATTCTTTCAAATATTAGTTGTTTGTAGAACATAAATAGTATATTCGACATGAAATGTGTCATACCTGGCGGAAATGTCAAAAGTATGTGTCAATTATTCTATTAATTTATATTAAAGAAATCAAAATTGATGTTTTTACAGCGCAAACGAAAATCGACAGTTTAATTTAATATTTTCTATTACATGGCTAATTTAATATTTTATTCGTTTTATATTGCATATATTGTTTACAAGAAATATTTAAATATTACTAGTCTATATAAAATTTATGATTAATATTTTTATGAAGCTTCTACACCGAATGACTAATTACCATTTTTTTGATGCAGTCTTGGCAAGAGCAATACATACGCTGGCAAAGATTGGGGACGAGATGTATGTGAATCCTCAAGAGGAATCTATCTCTTTTCGTACAGCCAACATGGCACGATCGGCATATTCTGACTTTACGTTCCACAAAAATTTCTTCTCCTACTACGTTCTTGGAGATCTCGAGGAAGAAGAGGCGCAGAAATGTAAAATTTCAATGAGGGTAATATCTATTTCAGTTGTTTATGTTGCATGATATTAATTTAATATGCTGCATTTATATCCACGATATTAATTTAATCTACAATTTATAGAGCGCAATGACAGTCTTCAAATCCGCGCATACGTTGGACAAACTAGTGGAGACTTGTCACATTCACCTGGAGGTAGAGGCCTGCAATCTAATATTTATCTTAAAATACAAAAATGGTGTCAACAAGTCCCACCTCATCCCTATTTTGGATTCTGAAAAGTTGCAAGTACACCGAACAAATTTTTTATTATACACTTGATCCTTGGACACAATTTAAAAATTACTTAACATTTTAAATAAACCTGATTAAATCTATCAATTAGCATTTCCAAATATTCTTATGATACTAAAACATTTTTATGATATTAAAACAATTACTGCTTATCAAATATTATGAATATTTGATAAGTGTAGTAACTTTTCAGTATCATAAAAAAATAAAACACACCCAACGATCAAATTTTCATGTGAACTACTATTGACTATTGAATTCATATCACATATAAAGCAAAATCATGGATTAAAGTATAAATTATGCTTTCATAAGGCATCTTTCACCAAGGCTGGTATGTCCAACGAATTGGTATCACAAGCTCGGACATTAATGGACGCTCTGCACAATTTTCCGCAAAGTTTAATCGAGATCACGCTCGAGATAACGCCACACAAGTTGTTGTTCAGGAATTATGTGGACGACGCGTCAGGTAAATAAAAGTGTACTATTTTTAGCATATATAAACATAAAACGCAAAATAATAGTAATAATTAACATATTATTAATCAATTAATTTCAATTAATACTACAGTCATGTGTTACAGTTATGATAAATACTACACGTACCCAGCTGGCTCTTGGTATCGGTGAATTTGACCACTACACGATTGGTAACGAAACAAATGTCACGTTTTGTTTGAAAGAAGTCAGAGCTTTACTCGCTTTCAGTGAGAGCGTGGGCGTTCCAATTACTACAAGTTTTGGAACAGCAGGAAGGTAGTTATCATATTTGCGAATTCTTTTATTTAATATTAAGCAAATAATTATGAATTCAAATGTTGTTATGTATTAGTAATAAAAAAAGATTTAACGTGCTTATATTTCGATAGTTTTTAATCTCTCATGTGTAACATTTTTTTTTAGACCAATATTGTTTACGCTGAAGAGTCAAGCCTTTGAGATAAACTTGCTGTTAGCAACGCTAAGTCCAGACGACTGTGATAGTCAGTCAAACTCGACAATTGCCAGTAGACAAGTACGATCTCTTCGAAAAAAGAATGCTTCCTCAAGGAGTACATCCAAACGTGTTAATAAATCTTTGAGTCGAACAAAGAAATCTGTTAAACCTGAAGTCAATGATGTGTTAAAAAATAGGCCAGCAGAAGAGAGAAATAAGTCTGACAGAACGCTCGATCAGAACGGGAATGCTTCTATGAACGTCGTTTGCGCGAAAGCGAATAATTCTATAAATAGTGTTCAAGAAAGAAATTTGCCTGAACGGGGTCGTCACTCTGTCGCGTTGAGTTCTGCCGGCACATCTTTGGCGACTGATAGAAGGATTTCAGAGAACCAACGGAAACTCGTAAATTCAGTATTTTCCAACATCACAAAGAGGAAGTCGACGAATGACGAGAATTATAAAAAAGGAAAAGAAGATGCAATAGATTGTATTGATCTGGAAGAAAGCGTGCCACAGTCACCGCCACGTCAAGTAGCCAAGAGAGCAAGATTGGTGTTTCAGAAATGTTTTCAGAATACCTTCGATCCGCGAATGTTACCCGGTCATGACACTATCCTGGTAGAGGATTCCGATGAGAATAACAGTGATTAAATATTGCGACATTTGGAAGAATTTTTATAATGCTCTAAATCAGAAAAAAAAGGTTTATTTGGTCAGTTATGGAGTAACATACTGTATATTTCATGACAGATTTTTCGACAAATTAATCACGACAATGTTTAAAATAAGTTATTTAATTTATTATTTTCAATAACGTATTTCTTTTTTTTTAGATCAGTTTGTTTTTTTCATGAAAAGCGATATACGTATACGATATATAATTCCGTAACTGATCGAAGATGAAGTTTTTATACAATTTTATATCGAGATTTTTAAATAGAGAGTCTTCAAATTATGTTATGTTCTTTCAATATTACGTGATTCAATTATGTAAGCTTTTATTTCTCTTGGTTAACAGACCTATTTTTCTAAGTTCAGTGTCATACATGATATCTCATAAAAATAGAATTCTGAATAGTTTATTATAGTAATGAAAGCATATAAAAATACAGCAGTTATTTAAAAGAGAATTATGTTTGTAAAGTAGATCTCGAACCACTGTACATACGTACATACATAAAACGTTCAAGTTGTAAAAATCTCATTGTAAATAAATATAGTTTTTAAATAAAGTTTTTATATAAAACTAAAATGTGAAAAGTTGTTGCGTTAGATCTGCCGCTTTCTAGTCCTTGCTTATTTTCCACATTATATAAATTTAGCGAGAAAAGGCTAACAAATGGAAAAAATATGTGTATGTGTGTAAAAATGTATAATTTCCATTATATTTATTATTATAAAATGATAAAGTTAATTTTGAGATGTTTGAAAATTTAATATGTCTAATTTCTTGATTAATGAAAATTTATATCATTTCAAAATTAATTTTATTTCATGATAAAGAATAAATTAAAATTCTATATACATAATATATACATATATTTGCAGGGACACTATATATTTACATGTTACAGTGACACCTGGTGACACGTGTTTAATCTAACTTGATCTGACTGCTATGAACAGCTGTGAATTCGTAACCTAAACCTTCAGTCTCCTGCAGTGTCTTCACGCGCTTTCTCGTTCTTCTCTTATAATTACGACGGCAACCCCACGGGGTCGGGAGGGTAACAAAGAATGAAGAACGTGAAGAGTATAAGGAAAATAGCGTTTAATCTAACTGCTCTAACTAGCGTGGGTCTGGGAGGCTGGTGTTTGGGCAAGTACTCCGAACAGAGGCGATACTCGAGAGACAATGAAACGAGTTTGTTGTCAGCAACGCGAATCCGGAACATGCCGGGTTTGCCTTTATTCGGAACGGTTTCGGCGGCCACCCCCTTGACACCTGCGGAAAGCAACTATGATATGGGCTCCAAAATGTCCTCGACCGCCACGAGAGTGTCGCAGGTGAGTAAGCCTCACAATCGAGGCTCGGCTCAAGGATTAGCAATAAGTAATGACCAAGTAACTCTTCAGATTTATTCATTGTCAGCAACGACAAGTAGGACGTATAATTTCGTAATTTGTAATGTTAATTGATATTTGACAAATCGATTGCATGTAACGATAACGATTAATTTAATAATTTAGAAAATAATTTGGTAGCATCGAAAAAAGGAATTTAAACGTTTAGTAGTTTAATGACGCGTAGAAACTTTGCTGAATTATTTATAGCACCGTTATAAAAATTTCAATATATAGTACCGTACTGGACCTTAGTAAATATTGCGGCAGATTATGAAATTTGGTTTTCCCGGATTGGATCATGTCAGGTCGTACGAGGATTTTGTGCTCTCTTACGACAGGCGAAACAGAGTTGCTCATTGGGTGTTTGAGCACTTTACCAAGGAGAGATTGCAGAATAACAACGAAGTGGATCGCTCAAAGTGCGAGTTCAAACCTGATCAGAGCATACATCCTTTTTTCAGGTAACGAAACATAGAATTTCTACTATATAATTCTCAAATTATTTTTAAAAAAATTTGGAAGAAAAAATTTTGTGGATCAAATTAGACTGTGTTGAGATTTAATTGAGTCTTAATTTTGGCCAACAGATCAGAGAATTCAGACTACAAGGGAAGCGGCTATGATCGCGGTCATTTGGCGGCGGCTGGAAATCACAAAGTGGACCAGAAACACATAGAGCAAACCTTCTTTCTTACCAATATGGCACCACAGGTTGGAAAAGGTTTCAACAGAGATTCCTGGAACAGATTGGAGAAATACGTTCGAAAATTGACTAGTATCTACAAGGACGTTTACGTGTGCACGGGACCATTGTATCTTCCCAAGTGCGTGCATTTGCTTGCTGGCAGTTTCCAATTTTGCTTTGAAAATCTTGTCTATTTTTCGACTATTATTATTATCATTATTATATTTTATACTACTATTTTATTATGTTTCACTTTTCTTACTCGAAACTTAATTTTGTTGTATTATATACGTAACGTAAATTTATACAATAATACATCATTTCTCTCATTGCTTTCTACTTCTATAGAAGGGAAGCGAATGGAAAAAAATATGTGCGTTATGAAGTGATAGGCGCAAATCATGTAGCGGTGCCTACACATTTTTACAAGGTGATCGTCGGCGAAACCAGTGACGGCAAATATGAAATGGAAGCTTTTGTGATGCCAAATACACCGATTGACGATAATGCACCGCTCACTAATTTCCAGGTATTGCTTTCCAAGAAATTATAAAATATTAAAAAGATATTAATTAAAGTATGTAGAATACATTCTGTGTATATAAAAGTTTATATAAATACATATTTAACTCTATTGTAATATAATTAAATTATTAATACAATTGCTTATTAATTAGAAAAAATTAAAGCTAACCACATTAATTGTACGAATGTAAAAATTAAGTTATTCATTAAATTTATTTCATATATATAACGAGAGATAAATTTATGTTATACGACCTTGATGAATTTTCAGGTACCACCAGACAGCATCGAGCGCGCTGCCGGACTTTTATTTTTCGACAAAATTGCGCGAAATAAATTAAGCAAAGTGAACGGCAAGAATATAGGTTAAATTTGACGATTGCTCAATTTACTTCATTATCTTTTCTTAATTGGCCGATAGAAAAGTTTAAGTTAAGTTAATTTTCAGATTGTCATTAAGTTGATTTTCAGATTCAAAAGAATTTTAATTTCTGACATATCATATGTTTAAATCTAGTCGATTTTGTTTTAATTCATTGTACACATAATTTTTAGAAGTTTTATCAATCACAATATTATATATATTACTCAATACATACTATATAATGTTTTAGCTGTTCTTTATTTTATCAATAAAGATAATTGTTGATCGATTTGTTTGTATATATATGCGTTTATTGATTTTGTACATTTAGTCGTCTGCTTGGAGTCGCTATTATACCTACTCATGTGTATCGCAATGTGTATTGCATATCTTTGATTCGTTATCGAATAAAACGAATGTTTATTTTCTCGATTCTTACGCCGAGAATTTAGGTACAGATATTTTTACTGCGAAATAATTATGGATAAGTAATTTTACACGATAGCGTTTTGAAATAAGCAAAAACGAAATAAATATTTATACTATACGTATTCAGACAATTTTTACATGTTTGGCAAAGTAGTAAAATTGATTAAAAAAGATATAATTAATGCAATTTACGTTTTTAGAAAATATAAATATGGAACGTGTATACACACATATATATATATATATATATATATATATATATATATATATATTCAGTATATACATCTGGATTTTTCTTCATTTCTCGGACGCTGGAAACTCAGTCTTGAACACAAATGCTTTATAAGTGAAGAATCAAACGCTTATAAAATCGCAAGATAATTTTTACAGAGTAAAATCTTATAAGATATCGCCTCGTCGCTACTTTGGTCGTGGTAGTATAAGAACGTATCGATTAATACGTTTGTTATTGTTAAATACCTAATAGTCATATAAAATCCTAAATGTAATAAAATTGTTAATAATTTTTTCGGGTTACGAGCTATGTCTATGTACAAAATTAACAGGCGCGGCGATAATGCGAATTTTTCCGTGTGCATTCAGAGTAAATTTTTTCGCATGCTTATATCGGAAACACTCAACAATATCGCCGTTTTTTTACGATAAGTCGGAATATGTGTCGCTGCCTGACGATATTTAAGACTTAACGTATATAATTCCTGCGAAGATAGGCAAATTAAAAGAAAATTTTATTGAAATTGAATTAATAAAAAATTTAATTAAAATTGTACTGAAAAAATAAAAAAAATATGTTAAAATCGAATTAGAATAAATAAAAGTTTAATGAAAGCAAAAAGTAAACCCTAAAAATAAAATAAGATTTTAAAGGTGTTAATACAAAATTTAAAAAATCAAATAGATTGAACAAAAAAAAGTAATTAAAATTAAATTTTGGAGAAAGTTATTACAAATATAAAAAATAATTAATTAGAGGAAAATAAAGTAATTAAGGGTATAAAGATTTAAGAATTATTAAGAGATTGAATTTGTAGAATAAATTTCTATATGTACATTTCTTTTAATTTACCTATTCTTTTGCACGCGTAAGATTATGCATTATTCTCGAGATCTCGCATGTATTTAAGTCGTATTCCTTTTTGAAATACCATCTTTCTTGCTTCCTCTATTTCTTTCGTCCATCGATATTGCATCACGGCTTATAAATAATATCTCTTTAAGTAGAGTATAGATTAGGCACTAAAATGGACGGGTTTGTTTGCTCGGATTTGCCTCCTTCGAGTATTGCTTAACGTCTTAAGGACACTTCTGAGAGCTTTAAGTACACTTTATTATAATCTACGTGATTTATTTTACGTGTTATTTACAGGGTATCCCAGAGAGAGAGAGAGAGAGAGAGAGAGAGAGAGAGAAAGAGATATAGATCATCTTCATTATCATTCGATAAAATCTATTTGTTTGAGCATCATTTGCTTGAATATTTTTTTCTGCCCGTGATTCTTAAAATTTTTAAATTTAGAATCTTTAAATCTTCAGATTCTTAGCTCTCGAATCTCGGAACTCTCTTGTCGAATCTTTAGACATTATTAAATTTCTAAATTCCAGAATTCTTAGATCTTAGAATACCGTCATTGGTCCCTTGAATTTAACTAAAGAAATTACGATTATTTTTAGAAAGCAAATTATTTAAAAAATATATTTGTGCATGCAATGAATATATTCTTTCTCTGAGACACTCTATACACTACTCAGAAAGCTCGGCATAAAACGTTGATTTTATTCCAACGTAATGCCAAGTTTTCAAATCCACTTCGATCGATAATTTTCTTTTATTTGCAAACATGCCGTCGAAAAATGTGTCGTTGCAGAAACATTTATTATTAAATTTATTATCAATCTTGGAATTATTTGTCTACTACACGATTTTTTCACAAGCAACGAATTAGAAGGACTTCACGGGAATTTTCTGATTGATTTCCAAAAGATCAGAAATTTAATCTTACAATAAATTCCTCCTATAATTTATCTATTTTTTTTGTATCGACGAAACAGCGAGGACTAGAAGACGCGATGAGTAAACGTTTGCGTCATCAACGTGGCTGTTCGTTGAACGATTTGCATGTTTTCAGTCGAAAATCTTCGCAATGATCACATTTTCGGAAGACTAGGCTACGCAAATAACTCTCGATATATGGAAAGATTTGCATTTGCAAAATAACCAAATCCGCAGCTAAACAAAGAAACTTGTAATTAAATAGATTAATTATAAATTTCACTTTTTAGAAAGAGATATTACCCTATTTTATTTTTATTATTTGTCTTTCGCATACATTTGCTCTTTTAAAAAGTCTTTCAAAACGTCCACATATCGAAATTCATTCGCATTACCTAATTATGTCCTTCCGGTAATTGCTACTCGATTATATCAATCTCTCCTCCGGTGGAGGCTTCATTACATTATCCATCTCCACTCTTGGATTGCTGAATTCCTGAGCACTCGGACTGTATGTGCCACGTGTTGCACGTTTTTTCCTTGCCATCATGAAGAGCGCTATGAGGGATGCGATGGCAATCAGGAGGAGACAACCCACGATTGGGCCTACGATTACCACTATGTCGAGGGCTTGGCTGCTTAAATAATTATTTTGCGCCTGAAAAACAAAAGTTAAATTTATTACTGATGTACAGTCGTGGATATATCGGTTACGACACTTTTTTAAATAGGTTTTTAGTATATATTTAATACATATTTTATAGGTAACTACAATATTTTGCAAATTCGAACCACGATGTGGTACTGTCTGTAATCCAGTACATTAATCGCATTTGCAAAATATTAGTGCGTTTCGAAACCTATTTTTTATATTTGCATAATTATATATTTTATGTAGAATTAATAATGTTGTAAATATTCTGAGCATTTTTATTAAGTTATCGCTGGCAAATTAATCCATTTCGTGTCCTTGTGTACATGCCTTAAATCTTTTTTCGAATATTTTTTTATCTTACCTCAGTACAATTTCGTCCTGTATAATCAGGAGCGCATCGACATATGTATCCGCCATCGTCGGCGCATTCGCATGTACCACCATTATGGCAGAAATCCTAAATAAAATAAATTAAAATAAGGGCATTAATAGTTAAATAAAAACAAAACGAGAATAATTATTATAACATTTTCTTTTATTTTATAATTTTCATAATTTTCTTCTATATTAAGTTTATTTGATTTTTAATTTATCAAATTTTAGTAATTTCTTTTCCGTGTTACTTATCTGTCGCTCTTTAACGTTATTTTGTCGACAAAAAATTAAAGGACCTTACCTCCTGGCATGGATTCTCCATGCCGCAATTGTAGCCGCAATAACCGTCGTCGCAGATGCACCGATAGATTCCAGGTAGGTTCTCGCATTTACCGTGTCCACACTCAATCTCCAAAATCTGACACTCGTCCACGTCGATGGAACAATCGATTCCAGTGTATCCGGTACCCTGGCAGTCGCACACGAATTTGTTTACCCCGTCAGAGCACTTGCCGTCGTTCTTGCAGGGCACGTTGCCTTCAGAATCCGGTGCGCAGTCATCGATATTGGTCTCGCAATACATGCCGGAGTAGCCGAGAGGGCAGATGCACTTCGGCGTCTTTTTTTATGTAATAATAATAGCGGAACGATTAAACGACATAAAGGAATCTTTGAGAGTATAAAACTAGGATTATTAATTCCGAATGCAAATTTTAGAATTTAAAAATTTAAAGGTCTTCAAGACTTTTAAAATTTAAGTTTAAAATTTTAAGATCCAGAAATTCAAAGATTTTAGAATCCAAAAAATTATAAACTTAATAGACTTTATAATAAATTAAATTATTTTTAATTTTTACAGTTCTTTCCAAAACTTCTAATTAAAAATCTAATAGAAAATCTGATTATGTAATAATGAGACTCAAAGATTTTTAAATTAGAGCTCAGAATGTCAAAATATATATAAAAATGCAGCGAGGAGAACGAGGAGGGATTATATATATACCTGGTTATACAGGAACTCGCATCTGCCTCCGTTTTGACACTTTCTGCGGATACAATAGGGCGTGTCACAGATCGGACCGTCGTAGCCGGGCATACAATTGCAGGTGAAATTGTCACCTGTCTTTGGATTCGGCACGTCCACGCAGGTCGCCCCGTTCTTGCACGGCTCGTTCTCGCAGGTGATCAGCCGGAAACTTTCGCACAATTCGCCGGTAAATTGATCGGGACATTCACACCTGAACAAGCCCGGTAGATTCACGCAAACGCCATCGTGTTGACACGGGCTTAGCGTTACGCACTCGTTGATGTCGCTATCGCATCTGTAACCAGATAGGAAAGGAATCTCGATAAGAAAACGTTATAATCCCTTCTTAATCGCTAGAGAATACAGTTTTACGAAATTTATCTTATTATTGTTCTAATTATATGATATGTGTAAGTGTGTATCACTTTTTGATATGATAAGTTAATAAAGATGACTTAGAAATTTTGTATTTGCCCTACAAAATGTATGATTTCTGTATCAATTGACATTGATGTTAATTAATTTTAAATTTATTATTGATGATATGGTTAATGTATACGTTTTTCTTATCAATTACTATTTTTATTAATTATCGTTAATTAATTTCTTTTTTTACAAGGAGTCAAATTATAATTATAAAAGAATCATTCGTTTCTTAATTAATAAATATTGATGACATTAATATTTTATTTAATAAAACTGTACTGTACGTAATAATAACAAAAAATATTAAATCCTTCATGTATACAAAACCTAAAATAATTTAAAGAAAAGTGAATACTCACAGCCATCCCTGCCATCCGTTCTTGCACACGCAAGTATAATTGGCGATACCGTCAACACAAGTCGCGCCGTTCTGGCATTTATTGTCGACACATTCGTCGATGTTAAATGAACAGTCATCTTCGGCGTAACCTGCAGGACACTCGCACACGTAGCTATTGGCCTTATCAAAGCAATAACCATCGTTCTTGCAATCCGTGTCGAAACACAATTGGCAACCGATGCTGTCGCGATGAGTGTCGTTGTCATTATCCTGCAACTCCAGGTACTCCAACGGAGTAAAGTTCGCGTTCTGATAAACTTCCTCGTAAGTAAAGTAGTGCAGCAACATGCTACCGATACGTACTTCGCCGAGGCAGCCCTTGAACGGTTCTCCTGTGTATAAAAAAGAATAATTTTCTGATTCCAAGAAAAATCACTTAAATAAAAATTGTTTTTCAAAGCGATAGAGAAAAAAAAATCAATTCTATGGAATGATTAAAAGTTGTAGATTGAAAAATAAAGATTGAAATTCGTAAAATTTCGAATTTTGAGAGTCAAAAGTCAAAGATTGTAAGTTTCGGGATTACGCGTTGCCATTAAAAATAATATGTAAAATAAACTGTATTAAAATATCATTTTAATATTTGTATTGTAATGTAATGACTTTTAAAGCTAATTAAAACTTTGTTAAAATTTCATTCACGTACCGGACATCATATTATGTGGAGGCATAGCGGTCGTCAGCCTATGCTCATTATAATCCACACTGTTGCCCTCAATTCCGTTTCTCCTCTCGTGTTTAGATCCAACGGTAAGATAAGTATGCCTGTCGGACAAGGCACTGGAGGGAAGTCCACCGAGGGTAACTGTGCCTGTCACCAGTAGATCGTACCAGAGTTGGAAGCTGAAGTTGGGACTCACGTGAGGTTGCTCTTCAGTAGGATTAGCGTAACCGCACTCCAAGGAATTATTATTCAATCTGATGAGCAGTGAGGTCCAGTTTCCGTCAGGTTGACCCTTATCAAAGGAGACGGTACCCTGGTTCTCTAAATCGAGCCGCCAGGACACAGTGACAGAGTCTTTAAAGACGGACACGGTGAAATGTTGGTCACCCATGTGAGGCGCCATGTGAAGCAGCGTGCCACCGGTGTTGGATCGGTAAGTGATTTCGATGGTGTCGACTGGTAAATCACTGGCCGCATCCGAAGTGCGACCATACGCGTACGTGAAGGCAGTGGAAACACCGTCAAAGGTCGCATTGGCGATGCACTCGTAACCGTCGTCAAGGTTCTGGCAGCGTGATCCCGCCGGACAGTCTTGTAACTGACAGAATTCCATCTCCTGGCATGTTTTGCCCGTGTAACCGCGCGGGCATTGGCACCAAAAGTCATTCCATGTCACGTAACATGTGCCGTTGTGGTTGCACGGGCTGCTTACGCACACGTTATCCGACACCACGCCCTCAAGGACTTTTTCAGGATCGAAGGAGACATTGCCGAATTGAATAAGAGCAGGATTAATGTCTTGTGCCTGGAAAAAAAATTAAGAATTATTTATAAATCTTGAATAAACTTGCTGATATGAAAAAGAATTTTATAATTACCTTTAGCGGGAAAAATTCCACAACCATCGTTTTCGTGCCGTTTGATATCTGCACGTCTTGGATAATGCCCTTGAAATTAATTTGCGGAGTTTGCTGCACCTCCATTTGCCTGCTATCAACTTGACGAATGTATCGTGACGCCTGCGGTAGTCCTCCCAGGTAGAGAACAGTCACGTTCAAGTCTCCCGTGGCACTGATGGTCTTGCGGAAATATTCGGTGCCATTGATCTTCACCTGAACGAGAGTGATGTTTCTCGCTACCTGAATCAAATGGTTGTTTCCATCGTTGAGTTTCACGCCGCTAACAGTGTAAGCTTCCGTGCCATTAAATTGCATCCTGACAAGTAGTTCTCCGCCCTTCAACTGCGCTGCTATGTAAGTCTTCTCTTGGGGCTTTTGATCGATCTGAGAATCCGGTTCCGTGCCCAGATAAAAGATATCACCGTGACTCTCCCGCGTGCGGATGAACATGGAGATATCAACGACCGAGTTAACGGTACGCCTTGCCGCGTCGCTTACTCTTACTGTTACGTAACCATTCGTAATATTCTCGTAGCTGAAGGTGGCGGCTGTCATGTTGTACTGACAGGTGTGACCAAGGTAAGGACGTTCGCATTCGCATTTGAAGTCGCGCCAACGATCGGTACAGTGACCGCCGTTTTTACAAGGATTCGGTGAGCACTGAGCTTCGCGAGGACAGCCGGGTTCTACATCCTCCATGTACACAGTTTTTGATGTGGTGCCAGAGTAGACCTGAGATAAATTTTAGAGACGCGAAATGTTATTGTAGAAATTGTGAAGGCACCGTAATTGAGTTAAAAATTGATAATTTAAAAGCTAAAAGGACACTTCAAATATCCTGAATGATATTATTAATCAAAGTAAAACAAAGTATATCGAGATTAACAACAGATCGACGTACCCATTCGCCATTGATGACAACGTCTTCCATGCAGCCGATAAAATATGTGAACGAAGGCAAGCGAGACAATCTTCTCAGGAAACTCAGAGAGCTAATGATACTCCCGCCCACAAAAGTCGTAGGGAAAGACGTGTGATTCGATGAATTAGAGCCTTCGTTGGGACTGATAGGGTAGATGGTTTGTTCCTCGTTGGCCGAAAGAACGAGATGAGTCGCGTTGATCGCCACGAAGGCCTTCTGCCAATTGGAATCGTTGAGTCCACTACCGACGAAGACTCCATCCCATTTATTCAATATACTAGAAAGTATATTGAGTTTGCCGTTCACCAGCTGGAGAATATAAATGGTCACACCCCTACCGATCGCTAGAAGACCATTCGGTAAGGTAGTTCTAAACCGAAATTGGATATCATAGCCCTCGTCGCGCGTGGTGTTCACCAGAACGTACGAGCTGCCGCTTAGAGACATTGTCGTCACCTGTGAATTTGTCGAATAATAATATTCTTAAGATGTTTGTTCATCAAATTGTTTATACGAGCGAAACACGTTTATTTTATTACGTTTATTTATATTACGCACCTTCTTCCGCCAGAAGCGCTTCGGAAAGAGTTAACGAGAGTGCGATAAAGCGTGATTAAAAGTGAATGATAAATACTTTTTGTTTTCAATGACTAACGATTGTTAATTATTAGAAATTTGCTCAAGTATGATAAGAAAAGGTAAATTTTGTTGTTTAACGAATGCAATTAAGCGATGTATTTTTGTACGTAAAACACCGAGTGCTTTTGATCATTCAAAATTTTATGTTAGTTAAAAAATATTTCAAAAATGTTGTTAAACACTCACATAATCGCACACTTCGCCGTGATAACCATTAGGACAGGTGCAGTTGAACTTGTGGATGGTCTCATCGACTAGATAGGGCCAACAAGTGCCGCCATTCTGGCAGGCATTTCCTTGACAGCCCATCAGCTTCACCGAACAATTTTTACCACCGTACTCCGGTTCGCAGGTGCAAAAATAGTCAGCTTTACCGTCGATACACACTCCATGTTTACAGGGAGTGTATCTCTTACACTCGTCAATTTCGTGTTGGCAGTGATCTCCTTCATAGCCTTCGTCACACTCGCAAGTGTAGCCGCCGATACGATCCATGCAGGTACCTGGACCGCAGGGATTGCTCTCACATTCGTTGATGTTCACCTCACAATTCTTGCCAGTGACACCTTGCACGCAGAGACACTCGTACCTATCGAGATTTCAAGAACTTATAATATTAGATGAAAAATGTAAGAGGTATTCTGAATCAACAAATTTCAAGTCATCTTCTTTATGCATTTTACGTGGAATTTCTGAATAAAATTTTGATGTAAAATTCTATTATATTTAAAATTTATGACGAATTAATAAAAAAAATGAAGAAAACGATATATATCCAAATTTTTAGAAAAGTGAGGAAAATCAGGAATAGGAGGGTTGAAAGATTATTCATTTAAAGACTCACCCGCTGGCATTGGCGTAACTGAATTCCTGAGTGAAAATCGCAGGTAAATTCAGGGCTTCGCTCTTGTAAAGGTCTTTGTTCGACCGCTCGAGGCAAGTGCCATTGTATTGACAGGGCGAACTCTCGCACTCGTTTATATCTATTTCGCAGTTCTTACCAGTATAGCCCGTATAGCACTGGCATTTGTAACTCTTGATTTCGTCCAAACACAATCCATCATTTACACACGGCCGCGACAGACATTCGTCGATATTATTCTCACAGTGCGGACCCTTAAAAATCAAAATTAAGAAAATTTTCGAGTATAATTAAATAATTGAATATAAGCATATATATAAAATAAAACTCTTACTTTAAATTTTTATTTAAATTATATATGTAAAAATAAATTAAAATATTTTGAATTAAATATAATTAGAAGCAGTGACTAAAAAAAATATTATTTATAATCAAAAATTTTTTCATATACAATTTCACGATAATATAACAAACTCTACCTCAAAACCAGTATCGCTACAGTCACAGGTGTAACCGTTTACACCATCGATGCATTTTCCTTGATTCATGCAGGGTGATGATTCGCACTCGTCGACGTTGATCTCGCAATTATCACCGAGAAAACCCGCCGGGCATACGCATGTATACGAAGCTATACCGTTCACGCATTGCGCTCCGTTGTGACACGGGTTACTATCGCATTCGTTCACGTCTATCTCGCAAGTCTTGCCGGTGTAACCGGGTTGGCATAAACATTGGAACATGTTAATACTATCGATGCATGTTGCATTATTCTTGCATGGACCGATAAGACATTCATCGATGTCGATATCGCAATGATTGCCGGAAAAGCCCGGCCGGCAGAAACAATCGTAGCTACCCTTCTTATTGACGCAGATCCCGTTGTTGCACAAGGAATTACCGTGCACCTCACACTCATTAATATCGAGATCGCAATACTGACCTGTAGAGAATATTTAATAATTGCGATTCAATTTTTATATACAAAAGAAAGTCTCTAAAATATTGTTCTATCTCATAATACGAACAAGTTATAAAAGTTTCTTTTTCCAATAAATGTGTATGCATATCTCTAAAGTTCTAATGTGAATTCTAATGCGAAAAGATAAAACTATAGAATTAAATTAATATAGCACTAAATTATAATTAAATTAAAAAATGTAATTATGCGAAAGTAATTGAAAGAGGCCAGAATAATTTAAATTGCTATTCTGTCTTTCAAAATAAGATAAAAACAATGTAAATTACATTAAATTAAATCATAAAAAATAATAAATTTTAGTTAAATTTTAAATTTTAAGATGAAAATAATTATTAGAAATAATGAAAATAATCACTAGAAATTATACATTTTGAAATAATTCTTTAAAATTTTCAAAATTCTTTGCAAATCATTATATTGTTTAATTCGGTAATACTTACCTTGAAAGCCTTTTTTACACTTGCATTCGAAGCCGTGCTCGCCATGATCGATGCAAGTACTATTGTTATCGCACGGTTTTGCTGCACAGTGATCTACAATCAGCGTGCAATTAGAACCTCTGTAGCCCTCGCGGCATTTGCATTCGTAACCGGCGATACCATCAACGCAAATCTTGTCATTTGGGCATACCACGCCTATACAATCGTCGATATTCACGTCGCATATCTTGAAACATATTCAGTTAAATTTATTTAAATATATTTCACATTTTGACATAAAAATCTCGCTTAAAATCAAATATAATAAAATCTGTATATTTTATAAGTAAAAAAATATATAATTACAATACCTTGCCCTCAAACCCGTGCGTACAATTGCAAACGAATTCTCTGTTTGATTTTGACGACAGCGCACAGGTACCATTGTTCTGACAAGGATTTACGATGCATGCATCGTATTGCTGTTCGCAATTATCACCCACGAAGTCTTTAGTGCAGTTGCAAGTGTATCCATTGACATGATCGATACAGGTACCGCCATTCTGGCATGGCTGTGACAGGCACTCATCTACATCAATTTGGCAGTTCTTCCCTGCAAAAATATCAGTCTCTTTCATAAAAAATTTTAAGCGTATCAAAAATTCGACATTATCGTAAATCGTATTAAAAATAATTAAAAATAATTTACGGTAAATTATGACTGGAAATTGAACTTGCTTCACAGAAGAAACAGACAAATTTGCGAAAAACACAATAATTAAAATAATTATAGAAACTGAAAAATGATTTATTGAGAAAAAAAGCTCGTATCAAATAAACTACTTCTGACGTAAAGATGTCAATGTTAGGATAATTTCGTATCATCGGAGCTGACAAATGTTATTAATTTTAATCGTGATTAATTTTTACCTTTCCATTCGGGCAAGCAAGTGCAATTGAAGCCATCCTTGCCGCTGGTACATGTGCCACCATTGGCGCAGGGATTGCTGGCGCAATAGTTGACAGTGCAATTAGGCGGATTACCCATAAAACCAGGTTTGCAGACACATTGAGGTCCATGGACATCCTCCACGCAGATGCTGTTAGGCGGACAAGCCGCGTTCTCGCAGAGGCCCCTCAATTGGCAATGAGGACCCGTGAATCCTGGGAGGCACTCGCAGTGATAAGTGCCTACGTCGTCGACGCACTCACCGCCGTTGGCGCAGGGATTGGATAAGCACTCGTTCAGATTGAGCTCGCAATTCTGACCGTCGAAGCCGTCTGGACAGTGGCAGACATAGCCGCCGTAATTATCATAGCATGTACCGCTATTCAGGCACGGATTCGCCTGACACTCATCGATGTCTACGTCACAATTGATGCCCTCATAGCTGAGAAGAAATAAAAAAAGCGTTTAAAATGTACCGTAAATGGAAAAATCTAAGAATTTATACAGCATTACTTTTTCGCGAACATAAAAATTGATGTAGTAAAATAGCAAACTGAAAGACGCCGAAGATGTGAAACCATACAGACTGTAATTTAAAGTCTAATTTGAGTAAAAAAAAAAAACCTACCCGGTACTGTCACATCTGCATGTATAATTATTGAGCCCATCGATGCAGATGCCGCCGTTCTTGCATGGATTCGAAACGCATTCGTTGATATTAATTTCGCAGTTCTTTCCAGTCCAACCAGCCTGACACTGGCACTTGTACTCGCTGTCCGTTAACATACAAATGCCATCGTTTCTACACGGATTTTGTTCGCACAATCGTACTCCCAGTTGAGATTCGCAAAAGCTGCCAGTAAAACCGGGTTTACAGCTACAACTGAAGTCACCGCGCGCATCTTCACTACAGATACCACCGTTGCGGCAAGGTCCGCTCTGACAGGGTGGGCCTAAAAAAATAATTCGCTCTTACTAAAAATATTTTCTTAAAGAAACAAAAAATGCGACAGAAAATTATTCGGCAATATTAATTGCAATGGCATTGATTAACTGCATGCAGAAATGAAGGGTCCCTTTTTTAATTATATTTATAATATTTATAATTATAACTTTAATAATAAAATGTAAGCACATTATTATAAATTTAAAAATTATATATAATTAATTACTAACAAAATTATTAAATGTAGACAAAGGAAAAAATAAAAGTATTAGAAATAAATATGGTAAGCATATTCTATATTTAGTTTGAGTAGAATGCAGTTTTCAGCGTTTGTCTTTTATACATGTAATAATATTGGCAGGTTTAACCACGCAATTATTCGCAAAGTAATTTATTTTGCTTAACTTCGAAGCAATTTTCTTGAAAGATAGTGTCGTTTAAAGATAAAAAAAACGACAAAACAACACTTATCTAAAGTAATTAAGCAAGCATGATTTTGAAGCAAATGTCTAAATGTGAAGAAAAAAGCATTTCTATAAGTTTCTACAGACTGCTGCAAAGCAGAACAGATATTATCTACGTTTAATATTTGCGAAAAATAATAGAGAAAGACAATACAGAGTTCATATCCAATCTATAGCAGCAATGTAATTATATTAGATTCTAATCTCTTACAAGGAAAAATACATTAATATTAAATATTCTAATACTGCAAAAATGTATAAAAAATTATTCTTTAAAATTTTATTGAATTCTTCAATTTCTCATATTGTTCTGCGATGTATTATACAGAGTTATATAAAGTTTGGAAAATACAATTTTGTTAAATTGTACTTAAAAAAAATTTATCTTCTGATTTCGTTCATAATTTAACTCTCAATTTATGCTTTAATCCGTAAACATAAAACTTTTTATTTATATTTAAATTTAAATTTTGCAATATTTTGACGAAATTGAGAACAAATCTACGGCAGGATATCTTCTCGTCACGGCGTAATTACATGACGTAACAATGCCGTTTAACGCGCGCGTCGGGTATGAATCCGTTTGCCCCACATATACCGTAAACCCCGCGTATTCAAGATATCGACGAGGTCTACCATTGTCAATCTGGCAGTTGTTGCCGGAGTATCGGGCGTAGCAGTGGCATTCGTAGCGATCCTGCCGTGACACGCATTTACCATGCATCATGCATGGCTCGTGGTGGCAGAAATCCATAGTGGGCACCGTGGCGGCAGGTGCCCCTGTGCCACCCCCGAGGCCGCTCGTTCCACCTGAAAATTTTTTCTTTTTCACAAAATTCGCATGCAATGTGTGCTCTTTACTCAGAAAAAAACACGTGCAAACTCTACGTTTGAAATATTTTTCTTTCTCTCTTGTCTCTTCTATTTTCTTCTCCCTTATTGTAATCTAGTTTTGCTATAAAAATGATGCTGCAAAAGATTTGCAGAAAAAAATATCACGATAAATCTGTTCTTAAAGGAAGGGGAAAACGATAAAAAAATATGTTGGAGCAAAATTCTTTTTGTTTTTAATTCTGAGACAAAACTAAAAAAAATAAAAACAATTTAGATACATATTAGGCTCACTAGAATATATCAAACATATATTAGGCCGTATGCGAGCCAACACGGATGACGGTGTGTAATAATTTTGTTAAACAAAAATACATGCCGCATTTAATAATTACAAATATAATTACTATTTTTAAAATATAATCCAATGTAATAAAAGAAATATTTTATTATGATAAAATGAAAAAATTAATTTAATTCAAAGTTAAAAGAAAAATTTCCGAAAATCCTTGTGACTTTCTCACTTGTTTGTTTCGAGATTTTTATATCGTGTTATTATTTTTATATCGAATATCGTGATCTAGCCTGCTGTTGTCACTCGATAATTGCTTAACCGCTCATCTATGAATGTTTGCGATATCGATCTATCGTTGCAACGTTATCACCCGATGACTTACTAATTGTAACTCCGGCCTACTTACTTGTATAGCAACTACGCTATCGATCTAGCATATCACTCGTGTGTGATTACTCAACGCTTCGGTGCAAGAATACTCTACGATAAACTTAGGGAAAAAATTATTCTAGTAAAAGAATGGGATTTCTTACATGCTTTGGTATCCAATGGACAGGGCCCAAAAACGGCCCCGTTATTGGCGGTGTCGTTAAAGAGGATCCCGGGTCCTTGCAGAATACAACCTCTAAATCCTTCGCCGACTATGAGCGAACTGTTCGCGTCGTAGTCAGGAAGCGTTAGAATGGCGGAATTGTAAGTTGCATTTGCAACCACCTAAAAAAAGTTTCTTATACTTCTATATCTCTTATATATCTATTGCTCACAAAAATTAAGATTGGTTTATCACATACTAGCTGATCTTTTTGCCATAAAGATTTCAAATTAAGTTAATGTGCTTATTTTTATAAATATCTAAACGAACTGAATTTCTTTAACAAGCGGTTTATAAAATCTATTTAAAAATACCTAAGGCAATTGAAATACATATGGTATTATTGTATTTTCGATATATTGTATTAAATTAAAAATTTAATTCTGTATAACATTTTTAAATACATCTGTTACATATAAATTTATGTACTTATAATCATAATTTACCTGGGTATGCCCTGCGGCATTTAAGGTGAGATTACCGAGCCTAAATAGTAGATTGACGTTATGCCAGACGTTGTTGAGCAGTCTGGCGTTCAGTCTGGCTCGATACCTCTGCTGATCGACCACAGCTACAAAGAGCAGTCCCTCGGGTGTCACCTCGAGACTGATCGAATTGTCATCGTACTTCTGTAGGAACAGTCGACCGGGATCGCACGTACGGAAGCTGAGACCACTGTGACGGTGCACCGATACGAAGGAGCTCAATTTCAGGAACGCTGAGCCGTCGAAGTAAGCCTCGCGAGGAGGAGGCTTGTAATTTTGATGTTTCAGATTCTGGGGAGCTTCCTGAGTAATAGCCAACAGAGTGGCCAGGACTACAACAGAGGAAAGACATCCGTTTGATAAAACGTATTCAGAGGCTGGCAATAATGTTCATTTAATGTTACAATTTTCACAGTTCTCATGAATTTTATGGATCATAAATTTTAGGTATACGGTTCATCATTCCTGATTAATATGGTCATCCCGAATATAGATTCTTAATTCTTGAAATATTACAAATATACAATGTAGGAAAGAATATTTTAATTTCAATATCTTAATAAAAAAATTGTTAAAAAAAATTCTGAAGCCAATTATTGTTATAACATGTCTATTAAATTTATGTTTATAAATTTATATTTATAAATAATAAAGTTTCTTTGAATTGTAATTATAAATTCATTAATAAAAAATCGACACTTATTGTTAGTAGAATTTATATACAAAATTTATAAAGTTGTTCTCTATATAATTTTGAGTTTTTGCTTCTTTTCAACCTAAGTATTTTCTCACGATATTCATGTATGAGACCAAATTTTTTTGTATCGCCCATGCTGCTTGCTCGTAATCTCAGAATTTTTCCTAATCTTCTAATCAGATGAAGCGAATTAAAAAGAGAGAGAGACAGAAAAAGAGAGAATAAAAAAAGGAAAAAGAGTCTATACCTTACGAGTCCACATTAATTTTCATTATCAGTTACGGCCGCAATATGTCACAAGGGGCTGACATATGCATTATCAATGAGAGCGTTTAATCTTTTGTCGCTTGTAACGCATTCGATAATTGGTGGACAAGCGTTTCAACGTTTTTATAACATTAGCTTTCGTTTCAGCTAACGTTTTAATAATATATTAAGAATAAAATAAAATTAAATAGAATAAAGAATAATTTTGATCAGTTTTATGTATACTTTTTAATTTGTTTAATATATTAATTTCATTTAATTTAAATTTGATTAAATAAAATATACATTTTAAATTCTTTTAATTTTTAATCTTTGTTATTGGTCGATAAACCTTACTCAAGTCATTCTCCGGAACGGGCTCAGTACTCGCGAGTGAGATTACTCACGAGAAAAGCGCGATTTATCACTACGAGCATACACGTCGTGTTACATAACGCCTCTCTCTGCGTGCCATTATCTCCAAGGATGAACTATGATTTTGTCATGAGCGCTTATGCGTGAGAAAGGACTCGTTCGTATGTTCATTCATGTGCATAATTTACATATGTGGAACCTTGGTCCACGCGATATCATTGATTCTTGATTATGAATATCTACGTTCTTGTAAATAATGCATTTCATAGATCCTTGATATAAAAAAATCTTATATTATATATTCTGTAGAATCTTGACTCTAAAATGATCATGTATCTTTGATGATGATTCCATAAAAATTCTATTAAAATTACGTAAATCCTTGATAGTACAATTTTCGTGAATCCTTTCTGTTAATTCAGGATTTAAATCTTAAGAGCATCCGTTCGCCGTAAATGTCGGATGTCGCAAACACTCGGATTCTCACTACTAGGGTTACGTTTATTTTTATTCTCGTGAAAGAAGGTGCAAGAGATTTCCACCATGCCGCGTGAGCGTGATCTCCTTTCCTCCGAAGAGGACAGCCAGTCGTCATCTCGCGAGTACAACCTTAGAACGCCGCGTGCGAATGGGAGTCATGCATTATTTATCGGCTACTATCGATCTTACTCGCTATATAGTGCACTCTGCATAGTGCGCTGTATAGTGCAGTAAAATTTTGACTGAAACAGAATTTAATCGAGATAAGATAGATACTCGAAAAGATGTATTGTATTATTAGCTTAAGAATTTCGGCAAATATCAATTGATTGTCACATCTTGAGCGAATTTTTCCGCGATGTACGGGCACGCGACACGTTCGAGGAACTCACGCATCCGCGTGTCCTGCATGCGAAATACGTAATACGTGTAACATAAACGGAGACCCATAATCGGAGCTGCTTCGATGACGGGACTGCCGGAAGCCAATCTTCCTGCATGGGACAAACGATGACGCGTCCGTTGTGTTGGGATTGCGGATAATTATGTAGATCCGAGAAATTGTAGATTTGCGACTCCCATTGGAAATCTATCATGATCACGGGAAAAAATCCAAAATTCACAGAGTTGTAGAATTAGAAGCTATAATATCATAAATAAATTATTTCATAAATTCCACCATTTTAAGATCCACCGTCTAAAAAATTCTTTCGTATAATTATTATACTTATTTCATAAATTTAAAAATTGATTTATGATTATTCAAATGAATCTTTCGTAGATCACTGCCTCTGTAAATTCGATGTTATCGTTTTTGGAAAAAAAGACAAAGGCAGTTGACGATTGTCAATTTTCCCGTGCACAATTACTCGGCTGAACGTCGCCAAGCATGAACCGCGCGCTCAGCAGTTGGAAATGAAATGATTAATCCGTTAGTCTCATTACCCTATTTTCGTTTAATGCGATTGACGATCTGAGATACCGTCAAACGGTAGAAAGCCGTGGAAATAACGTAATGGCTTTCGTCGCGGATCGGGAATCACCGTGGGGAACCGAAAATACGGGTCCCGATTGGACGTATCGCGTTCATGACGAATCGCGCTACTAATGTAGTCCACTCGGAACGATTTGGCGAATTGCCGTTAGAAAGCATAACAGCTTGCATACATCATCCGTAAGGATATCGTGGATGCATCCTTACGGGACACCTGCGAGACGACCGCAATCGTCTGGGAAAGTGTGCCGCATGTACTTTAAGAATATTCAGAAAAGATATACATCCATATACATGTACAATGAAAATAGAATGATTAATCCGTTAGTCGACTATAATGTCATTGAATTGTCGGTTAATTTGCTACCAGTTTCTTCTTCATCCACGTCTGGAAAAAATACTTGATATCGGTTCAATCTCGACAGTTAGGTTCGGTAGTTTTGCACTCAATGAGCTGGTATTATGTCGTCTAACGAGTTTGTAGAGCGAGCAATTTAATTGCACGTGTCCTTTAGATTAAAAGATGCGGAACGGCGTAAAAGATTTTCTCACTACTGCAATTAATGGGTCAGTAAAGCGAAGGTCCATATATTATCCCTGCAATTCAAACACTGTTAACTGACATACATATAATAACGTATATACATAATTTTTTAAGCTGTACTTTCTAAAGAATAAGTTCAAAATTGAAAGAGATATCTTTTTGCTTCCTATTAATTACTGCAAGTAATAGCGTATTAAGCGTTTTGGTTGTGTAAATTCTGCTTTCTCAAATTTATAGAATAACAACAAATAAAATATATATAGATATACGCTATAATGTATTATCCGAATTTCCATATTAATCATTACAAAATAATAATGCCACATAAATTAGTAAGAACATAAATCTTAACTAAAACTTTATGTTTCGCATATGTAATTTGTGAAAATGAGAGTATCTGACTATTGGTCCCGCACACGTGGAAGCTAATTTTCGAGGTAGATATGTTTAATCTCTGTCTTGTAAGAAATTAGCTTTTCCCATGAGAATGTTTACGAATTTCTCAATCTCAGAAGTATTTGTGCATATTCGTAGATAAACAATTTTTGCGCACGAAAATGCGTAACGTAATCGTAAGTCACGCCTTTTGGTCGACAGAATTTTTCATGAAGATACGATATGCTCTCCCTAACACAGAGCGTAGTCCACTTTCTCTTCGAATAAATAGCTTGTCTCTTCGTCACTCTTTCAGTTAGAATATGCAAAGTCGAGAAGATTCTTTATTATTTTGTTGAACACCGTATGGTGCGATTAAACTTAATGTAAAATGCATTGTAAACATTTTAAGTAACATACATATATTGATATTCATCGTGATATTCATAAAAATACCGATTGATGTATTACTTGAGCCGGTCGTTCCACTTTTTAATTTAGCCTAATCAAGACTTTGATAGAACACGACACGCTGTCTCGAAATGCGACGTTTCCCGCGCGATGCAACAAAGAGTATTATGCCTCGGGTCGACGAAGGCGTGGCAATTGTGAGTCAGTCGAGTCGTATAACTCAGTACTTTCGTAGGTGAATACCAACAAGTTCTGGAGTGTGCTATAAAGTCGTACGGTGAACGATTCGGTGCGGTTGTTTTTACAAAGCTGTACGGAGACGCCGAGGATGAGGCTGAGGAAGGAAATCTCTATGGACCATTTCCCCCTCGCTGAAATACGATAATTCGCTTGAGGTACGTAATAAATTAATTTCTGATAATTTACGGCAATTTTTATAATTTAATTAGAAGGCAATCTACATAAACATAATTTCTTCAGCAGTTCTTTACGTAAACGAAATATTGGAATATTGGAAATAAAAGTTTTGAATTATAAATGTAATACTGGTGGAATAAATGTAAATACTGGTAGATATTAAATTAAGAGAGAGTAATAATTTCCATGAAATAATTTCTTTGGATAATATTTAATGAAGTGTTCTTGATAAAACGTTCTATACACGCAGAAATGAGTATCGATCTCGGGGGAAAGAAAGGAGAGACAAATGGAACTGCAACTAGAACAGAACTATTGCACGTGGCTATGGCCGAGTTCGTGTTGCCGAGCTTTCGGTTCACTGACACGTGGGAATTCAACGATCGCGTTATACGCGACGGACGCGAATAAGGAGGTTCCTTTGTCTATTGCGAAATATAGCCACTGGCATCATTATGACAAGGCTTTGATTCTCCAAGTGATGGAAATATTTTCTCATAGTTCTTATTTATGTCAAGCATTCTCAAATTATTATTAATGTCAAGTTATTAATAATGTATCGCTGTGTGCGTACCTTCATAAATTAGAATAAAAAGAATTATATAATTCATATGTAATTTGTGAACTCTAACAATTTTATATCAATGTATGTAAAATGTGTACCTACATTGAAAGTTGATCAGTACATTGTAAATTAGAATTATTATATAATTTAAGAGACGTAACACAATTTTTTCTTGTTATTTGCGAAAATGAGAGTATCTGACTATTGGTCCCGCACGCGTGGAAGCTA